TCTCTCTCTCTCTCTCTCTCTCTCTCTCTCTCTCTCTCTCTCTCTCTCTCTCTTTTTCTCGGTATATTTTAGGGAAGGATCTATAGGGTGTTCACGGTCTCACTACTAGATCAGACTTGTCATGATGCACCTGTTTGCAGCCTCCCAAGAGCTAGGATTACAGGCACATGACACCACACCCAGTCTCAATTGCCAGTCTCAGCAAACCCCAGGGGGTAGGGCTGGCATGGCAGGCCAGGGAATCGAACCCCCGGCCCCTGCATCTGCTTGCAGATGCTTTAATCCACTGAACTATTTGGCTGACCCAACATTTTAATAAAATTCTATAAAGTTTTATAAAATTATTTAAGGAATATTTAAGAAATTTAGCAATTTTTCTTAAATCACTTAAATTTCTTATAGAAGAAGGGAAGTGGTATCTCCCTTTCTTGATTTATCTCCTTGTGTTCTATTAACCTAAATTATAATTCTTTCCAATAAAGCACATACAACAAAACAAGGACTGAAAAATTGCAAACCAATCTCAATTCATGACAAAAATGAAAAATATAGCATCCTTGAACTCATTATGTTACTTTCTTATACTTGCTACATAAATTTTCTCAAGTATGCAATTTATGTAACAAAATTAAATAAAATATATCTAATTCTCTGCTATTCAGTTCTCACATGAAGCTTTAGGACTGAATATAAATTATAGGGATGAGGGAAAAATATTTTTTCTACCTAACCAAAGATTAAACACATACAATTTTCTGCTTTATCTTTTATTCTTCTGGAATCTTTAGTACAAGAATCAAACTCAAGACCTTATGCTTGCCAGCAGGTGCTGTGCCACTGAGCTATATCCCCAAAACCTTATTTCTTCTTTTTGGGTACAAGGAATCAAATTCAGAGCCTTGTGCTTGCCAGGCAGTACTGTGCTGCTGAGCTATCTCCCAGGTTCTTTTATTCTTTGCACTGCTTGAGAAGGTCTTCATAACACTGAGGTTTGACTTCTTCACCCAAACATTAGTGTTAGTCCAACTCCTCCAGATTCTTAGGTGAACAAATCAACACATTCTCTTCTCCTTTTCCCACACTTCATATGCAAGCTGTCGTTAACCACAGTCACATCACATCTGTGTTCCTCTTTGATTTATATCTATGTGTTAAAACCAACTTTGATTGGCTGAAAGTTGTGCATATAAAGCAATCTGCTTCACAAGCAGCTCACTGTTTCCTGAAGGAAAGTATGAGCTCATAAAATATGAGTTCATTTTCTGAAGGATGTAAGAGATTTAAAGTAGTGTCTCAGTTTGCTCATCAGCATTTCCCTGAAGTGATCACCCATTAGAAAGTAGAAGACGGGGTTGATAGCACTGTTCAGAAAGGCTACAGGCCGGGTCACAGTGTACAAGGACTTGAGGATGATTTCAGTGCATTCATTGTGCTTCCAGCTGTCCAGGCGCGAAGCGATCCTCACATTCCGCAAGATGTGGTAGGGTGTAAAGAGAACAGAGACGATCACCACTGCCATGATAACTAAGAGCAGAGGCTTTTCAAGGGGCAAGGTTGCAGTGAGCTGCCTGCTTCTCTGCTTTAGGAAGACAGCAATCTTGTAGTAGAAGAAGCACATCACGGAAAGAGGAATAAAGAATCCTACCAGGGTTAGACACATGCTGTAAATGAGGTTGTATCCAGGCTCTCCAGAACTTGCAAAATCAAGACAGGCGGTGCCTTGTTCAGTTGTAATGGGATTTATAAGAGGAAGTATGGGCAGTAATTCTAAGGTTACCAAAACCCAAATAGCCAACGAAATTAAAACAGCAAACTCTTTCTTTTGCAAAAGGTGTTCTCGAAAAGGATACTTTATGAGCATGTATCGATCGATGCTGATAAAAGTGAGGAAGAGGATGCTGGTGTAGAGGTTAGCATGAAGCACGTACCGGTTGATGATGCAGAACACCTCCCCATATATCCAGTTTTGGTGGGCATAGCTTCTCATCAGCATCGGAAGAGTGCACAAAAAAGCTAGATCACTGATGGAGAGGTTGAAGAGATAGATGTTGCTGCTATTCCAGTTCTTCAGACAGAAAAGGTAGCCAAAAACAACAACAGTGTTCCCAAGAATTCCCACAATGAACTCAATCCCATAACAAATAGGAAGATAGTACTTTTGCAAAGCAAACTGTGTTTCCAGCCAGGTTCTGCAAGTTGAATTCCATTCCTAAGAAAAGAGAATGGATGAAACATGAGCATGTGATTGAGAACAAAGCTGTGCAGAATAGCATCGACAGCTGCACAGTGGAATTGTGGAGCAATAGGCATATCTGTAAACATACACATTCATGTTAGTTTATATATATGGGAAAAGAATATATATATGTATGTATTTGGCACAGGGTATATAGGATCTCACTATGTAGATCAGACTCATAGTGATACTCCTGTTTTCAACCTCCCAAGTGTTGGGATTACATGCATGTACCACCATGCCCAGTCTCGGTCACCATCTTAGAATGCCCCAGGGGCAGGGCTGGCATGGCAAGGTGGGGATCAAACCCTGGCCACTGCGCTCTGTCTAAGCAGGTGCTTTAGTCCACTGAGCTGTCTGGCCAGCCTGGGAAAAGATTATTCCTACAATCAACTATTGACTATTTTAAACTGTAAACTAAGAACTGGGTTAGTATCAGTAGGTTAAACCAAGTTCCTAATCTGAAACAATGTACGTTGGTGCCTCGGTTCATAAATTTAGTTTGCCCCATGATTCTGGAAAAAACAGCCACATTCATGTTCCTATGGGAAAGATGGCTGGGATCATGTTCACCACCTGATGCCATGTTCACAAACAAAATGATGCCAAATGGTTTTGTTTAAGAACCAAAGTATTCACAAACAAAAGCATTCATGAACCAAGATACCAACACATCCTGTTTGGGGAAGAATTAAAAAGGAAAGAAATGATGCCATGGAATGGAAGATGATGTGAATGCAAAAAAAAAAAAAAAAAAAAAAAAAAAAAAAAAAGGGTAAATATGTTGAAAGAGTTTTGGAACAGATGGGGACAATGAGCTGTTTTACATGGTGACCAGGCACATGGCTTTCTATGAGATGGCGTTTAAATGGAAACTTCAACAAAGACAGGGCAGGAAGCATATCTATATCTTGAGGAAGTGTATTGCAGACATAGGAAGAGCTAACACTTGGCGCACAGCAAACAGGCCACAGGAAAGCGTGGAAAAGTAGATGAGGAGAAGCGTGTAACTGGCTGTCGTGTCTCCAGAACTCACCACGGTCCCCTGCATATTGTAGCTGCTCAACACGCTCTGCTGAGTGAAGCCAAGTGTAACCATAACCTACAAGACATAGCGATTGTTAGAATTCCAATCTTTCTATTTTAATAGCTTTTACTTATTCCCATGTTATAACACTTATGTTTGTATGAAATTTAGTAAATACAGCTTCAGTTTTAAAATATAGTATTTTAAAATGTGAACCATGAAAATAAAAGTCTTCCACGTCTACTACTTACTTAAAATTGGTAGTGTACGAGCTCTGTGCTTTCTACTTTTCAGGAAATATCCATTTAATATGCATAAGTGGCATAAGCAAGTGGGGTCTGTAGTTATTTTTACTTGACAGATGATTCTCCTAAAGTTTGGAAAATTAAGTATGTTGCTAGTTTAGTCTATTCCAGCTGCTATGTCAATACACCTTACACTGGCTAATTGATGCCGTTTACGTGCGGCTGTTGGTTCTGCAGGCTGGGTGGCCCATGGTCATGGGGTCATTAGTTTCAGATCTTGGTGACGAGTGACCACCTTTCATTCCACGATGGTGCCTTTTGCTTCATTCTCATGACGATGGTTTGAAGGGACAGAGCATCTCCCTTGAATCTCAAAGAGTACTAATCTCAGTGAAAAGGCAGCGCCCTTTATGACTTCATCATTTTCTCAAAGGCTTTACTAATTGAATCCTTTAAGGTTCACCATATGAATTTGTGGGGGAGGAAGGGACACCCATATTTAGACTACGGTACTTTTGAAATCATATACCTAGTAAAAGACTTTAGCAGTGATACTTTGCTAATATGGGCCATAGAAATAGGTAGTGTGATTCATCCTGATGTTGAATATCTTGATATGATGCTGTTTTCTCTCTTGTCAAGAGGCCAGATTGTACTTTGGATAGGGTATTTCCAGAACTTGAATTTTCTAAAAATGTGCTGGATCATCATTTTTAGATAGTAAATCTTATTTATAATGAGGAAAGCAAGGTTAAAAATAAACTTATCTAAATAATCATTTTATCAAATAAACTTCTGAGCATTAGTTGTAATCAATGGTTCTATATAGTATTTCGGCACATGGAACAAAATTAGAATGAAGGCACTCAACTTTCTTTTCACTGAGAGGCATGCAAATGCTCAGTAGTTTTGCTAGGATACAAGAATCTCAAATTTCACATCGGATTTTGTGAAATTTCAGTGACTGTCTTAAGTAATTGATTACTGGTATTTTGTGAGTATTACATTCATGAAAATATGTCACAAAGTTGTAGAAAATTTCAATATTTTGTTATTTTTAATTACTATGAAACATTCCAAATTCCTGGAATGTCTTAAATCTGCATGGAAGACACTCAGTCCAACACTAAATGAAAGTAGATGACCTGTTCCTTAGCCGGAAGGTGCACGACCACTCATGAAGGACTAAGCAGACTGGCTTCACTCTCTCTTTCTAAGGCCCTCTGCCATTCCTAGAAACCTATTCCTTTGTTTTACATTTTATATTTTTTCCAGGTCCTATCAAATCTCTTCCACTTATTCTTCCCTACTCATTCTTACAAATAACTAGCAGATGGCTTTGCCTTCTAGCTCACTGAACTGGAGACTAATCACTATGATGACTCCAGATCCTACTCATTTTGAAGCTCTGAAGGTTTCTAGACTACTCACATTGTCTGTGTTTTTTGTCTCTTCAAATATCTTCTCCATCTATACCTTTTCTATCAGCATTTAAGTAATGGATAATAATAATAAGTAATTGATTACTGGTATTAATTAATAATAATAAGTAATTGATTACTGGTATTTTGAGAGTGTTATATTCATGAAAATATGTCACGGAGTTGTAGAAAATTTCAATATTTTGTTATTTTTAATTACTATGAAACATTCCAAATACACCTTTTCTATCAGCATTTAAACACTATAGCCTTGTTAGTATTAAAAACAAAGAGCACTGGGCTAGGGAGATAGCTCAGTGGTCTAAGCTCCTGCCTGGCAAGTGCAAGGATCCAGATTTGATCCCCGATAGTACAGGCAGTACTGGCCTCAGTATCCTGGGTGCGCTGTGCTAGTCACCGAAATCAGGCATGGGGTCACATGCCTGTAATCCCAGCACTGGAGAGGCTGAGACAGGACATTCTCTACAAGTCCGAGCTGCTTAGTGAGACCCTGTACCAAATAAATAAATAAATGAATAAATAATCTTTTAAAAAGCAATAACCAAAGAGCACTTGCAAAGAATCCTTTGTGGTTTCACATATTTCCTCTTTATAACTTGAGTTCTGAAAAGAGGAGTCTCCCTAAGAGTTCTGACATCCTGACATCACATTGTTGCCAACTCGCTGGAATTTGGCTTCTGACCTACCATTCCACTAAAATAGTCTCCACATTGCTTAACTCAGTGGTCATTTTTCACATCTTAAATTTTCAGCTAGTTTTAATATCATGACACTCCGGCTTCTGTGTCATAATATTATCCTAGTTTTCCTTTCTTCTCCTTGAGTTTGCTTTGTAGGCTCTTTTGAGGTGCAAGCACTAAATGTTGAGCTCCGCAACGCGTGGTCCTGGGCTCCTTTCTCTATGTTCTACCTGGATGATCATATTCACTTCTGAGACTTAAGGACCATCCACATATGAATAACTCTCAGATTTCCAACCCAGTCCAGACATATCTTAAGAGCTCTGACTGCTTATACCTACTGCTATTGATTAAATTCTTGCAGGCATTAAACTCCCTAACTTCCTTGTCTATAGCAGCACACGGCAACCTGTCTCAGTGAGACGGCCAGTTCCACGTCTGCCACATACACACCACAGCAATCTCAGGAAGGCTTTTTTCTTTTTTTTCTTCTTTCACAGGATCTACAGGGTCTCACTATGGAGATTGGATTCATAGTGATTCTCCTGTTTTCAGCCTCCCAAGCACTAGGATTACAGGAGTGCGCCACCACACCCAGTCTCAGTCCCTGGGTCACTGTGCCCCGGTGGCAGGTCCCGCATGGCAGGCCAGGGATCCAACCCCGGCTGCCATGCTCTGTACTTGCAGGCACATTAGTCCACTGAGCTATCAGGCCAGCCTGGAAAGCCCTTTTCTAACTAACCTTCAGTAATGAATAAATGGCCAGGTCTTTGAGACTACAATTTGCTGCTGTTTCTCAAATCCAGTAGTGTTGCTCCAAATCTGTCATCTAGGCCGGGCCAGCAACACTCCTATACTGGACTACATGAAACTCTCCTGCTGTGTCCGTATCAAATCTTGAAATGACTTCTGCATTCCAAATCCCCCATGGAGACACATGGTTTTATCATCTGACCTTCGTAATCCTCTTCAACCTCACTGGGGGTTAACTTTCCCATATTCATCTTGCTTCTGCCTTGTGACCGTGTGCAGTGCCTGCTTTCCTGAATCTGCTTTTTTTTCCTGCAACTTTTGACCCATCACACAGTCTGTCTTGAACCTATATTTCTTTCAGGCTTCAGCTGAAGTGAAGATTTCCTAAAATATATTATCTGGACTATCCATCTATGTGAGATCCTTACATTCACACTTTCATTGAATATTGAACTTGTTAGCAGTTTTCATAATTTTGTTTGACTGTTTACCTGTTACATCTGGCACAGTGGCCAGAAGATAATAGTCTGAAGATGTATATAAAGTCAAAAGATGGGTATAAACATTTGATCATTTGCAAAACAGCTTTTTGTTTGTTTGTTTGTTTGTTTGTTTAGAGGTACCGGGGATTGGACTCAGGATCCTGAACTTGCCAGGCAAGTGCTTATTCTACTGAGATATCTCCCCAGCCCACAAAATAGTTTTATAAATATTTTCTCCAAGTTCAGGTAAGTAGCATGTCTACCAAGTCAAGCTAGCTGTGATAGCTGTGATGTAAAATATATTTAAAGTAAAATTTAACTTCATATGTAGTCTAGGATCAATTTAAAAAATTGAAGGGACCGCTAAGATAGCTCAGTGGACTACAGCGCCTGTTTAGGAAAGTTTAGGCAAGTACAGGGACTGCAGTTCCGTCCCAAGTACCACATGCTGTGCCAGCCCCACCCCAAAGGTGGGCTGAGCTGGCCAGAGTGTGGACATAGTAGTGGCACATGCCTGTAATCCCAGCACTGGGGAGACTGAAAACTGCAGGAATACCACGAGTCCAAGCTGTGTAGTGAGACCCTACAACAACCAAATACATTAAAAAGAAAAAATGAAGCACTTAATTAAAAATTTGCACCTGAAATTAACAAAAATATGAAAGTCTAAAAATATATGTACCAATCATATTCCTAATAGTTGTTATTCTGCCTTTTGTTTTTCTCCTGGATTAACTGATTTTATTTTCTTTTACCTTCCTTCCTTCCTTCCTTTCTTCTCCTTTCTTTCTGCTTTTTTTTTTTTTTTTTTTTTTTTTTTTTTTACTAAAAGTAGTATATGTATGA